ACTTTAGATTGTTTACAAATAGGTCGAGATCTCCTCTTGGAAAGAAGGGGAGAACTAAGGACCTTGAGACCCTAGAAAATTATTAGTAATCCTGAATATATTTCAAGCCCTTACAGCCCTTGTTACAGATAATTTTCTATCATCTTGAGAAGACCCAACACTCCGAAGTGGCACGTGCACTCCGGATTATTATTTATTCCATCCTACATCAGAACCTTAAATTAAGGACTGATGGGACCTAAGGAGAACCCCTCACTACCTCTTCCTACCAACAATCCCTTTCCTATCCTAGCTACCCTTCCTCTACCACCATCACCCACTGGAGAAGAGACCGAATCAGGGTATCCCCCTGTATCGGACCCTATACCTCTGGAAGTTACTTCCCCTCTTACTCAACCAGAAAGGGAGTCCACGGAAGAACCTGAGGACTCTACATCTCGTGAACGCACGAACAGACCAACTCTCGACCAAGACCTCCTTAGGAAGCACCTTCAAAGCAAACATCGGAAGCGCTTCCCAGTCCGACCTAGTATCTCGGAACCACCCCCGACTCGAACCAACAATATGGGTTCAACACATCCTGACGACAGCCATGCTCTCGTCCTATACAGACCGCAGGATTACGAAGTAATCATGCGGGACGCACCCGAGATTGGCACTACCAATCTCGTTATTACCAACCCACCTGATTGGTTAATCCAGCTGCATGGACAGATGGAAGAGACCTATGAGTCTCTTCGATCTCTTGCACGCTCAGTGGATGAGGACCACAGGGACAGCCAAGATCAGCTCAGCCGGCAGTACCAAGCCTTACAGACGATGTATAATACTGTGGCACAGATGCACCAGGCTAATATAGCGGCCTCGACTGAGCAGATCACTCAGTTTAAACGACAAGTTGAGCAATCCAGCTCAGTGTTCTCCCAGAGGGTCTGGGGAACAATCGCACGCTTCTCCAACAATGATGAAGCACGACGAGTAGCGATCGTCAGACTAGAAGATGCCGCCCGAAAGCAACACGAGGCTCTTCTAGACCTCCAAGCCCGACAGGAGTCTCAGGAAGATCTGCTGGGGAAGGTGACGACTTGGGCCACTCAAAAGGAGGGTCAGATTAATGACCTCCTGGCTCGAGAATATACTGACCCGACGCACATGGATGAACGCTCCCGGGAACAGTTGGAGGAACTCCGGGCCTATACGAAGGCCGCACTAGCCGAGTTTACCTCAAGACTGGCAACTAACCAGCCCATTTCTGTAAACTCGGTCCTACAGAGTATTGGGAAGAAGGCAGCATCAGAGCCCCTTCCTAGTCAACCCCCTCGAAGTCGTCAGTCAACAATGACGAGGGCACCCCCGTCCAAATACTCCAGCTCAGAAGCCAGAATTAGGGGCATCTTGTCAACACAGACGTTACAGGACGCCCAGGCTAGACAAACCTCGGAAGATGCCCGTGCTCAGTTTGAAGGAGCACGCACCGGACCCTTTGTCATGTCAGGAGGAAATGGACGAGGATTAGGACCACCTCGTACATCGGCAGGAGCTCCGGGAGGAAACCCAGGAGACTCTAGCGATGACGATGACGACCAGGGACCGCAAGGTCCACCTCGAGGACCACCTCGCGGGCCTCCGTTCCCAGGACCCAATAGGCCTGAACGAGACCCGGAGCCCCGACGCACAAGCAGCACCGAAGAACGACTACTGCAGGCGTTGGAGAGGCTCACCAGACCCGCTCCCGCAACTATTAATCCAGTACACCTGAACAAGCCACCCACGTATGACGGCAAGGACCTCGCTAAGTTCCGAGCCTGGTGGATGAAGGTCGAATCATATCTGGAGACCTATGCGGAGAGCTTCCCCGAGGATTACGTCCGCATTAACTGGGTAGGATCGTTGCTCACAGACAAGGCCCAGCTATGGCATCAGCAACGTCTTAACCAAGTTAAGCGGTTCCACCTCGTGGACCAATGGGCCAGTTACGTGCTGGCCCTACAAGAACGATTTAAGGACCCTTCAGAGAGACACAGGAACTCAAAAAAGATGCACGAGCTTAAGTACACAGGAGACGTAGCTCAATACATCACCGAGCTCTTGGACCTCAATGAAGTTGTCCAGTGGTCTGGAACTACCTTCCAGAACCACATCGCCAAGACCCTTCCCGACGAGATTACCAAGTTGGTATACTCTAGACAAGGCAGGATTCCAGATAGCGACGAAGAATTTCTCGCCGCAATTCAGGAAGCCGGCCAGATCTACGAGAACATGCTAACCAACCCGGGACTCTCGACGGCAAAAGGAGGGCCCGCTTTGACAACGGAGCACTCAAAGTCGGGCCAGCAGAACCGTGGCAAGGAAACCCGCTCCAATCCAGGCCAAGATCGATCCTCAAAAGGCGAGGATCGGTCCAAATCTACCGGCAAGCCAAAGTCCGATTCCAAGAATAACCGATGGGCCTCAAATAAAGAAGCTCTTCAAGGAATTGACCAGGCAGACATTGATCAGCGCAAAAAAGACAAGAAGGCATGCTGGCGGTGTGGACGCAACACTCACGGCACTCTTGCTTGCTTCGCTAAGAAAGATGTCAATGATAAAGAATTGCCAGTACCCCCGGATCGCAAAGTTTCCTCAGCCAAGCGAAAACATAGCAATGACGAGCAACCAGCCCCCTCACCTGCAAAAAAAGCCAAGATAGATGCAGTGATGAGAGAAACTGGCCGACCTCGCCTTATTACCGAAATCAGCGATGATGATTCGGATTTTTAGAAGCCCCCCATGTCACACCTCGTGGGATGCCAGGGCAGGAACAAGGTGCTTATCCATATCGGCTCGCCGCGACCAAGCGACCAGCCGAAGAGCCTAGCGGATCACGAAAGAAAAGACGGAAAGAACCCTATTCAGGAAGAAGACCCTTGGTGAAAATGACAATAATGTTTAACAAGCAAAAGCTTCCTGTGAGAGTACTACTTGATACAGGGGCAACTGTACCCGTTATGTCAATATCCAAAGCCGAGCTATGGGATCTTCCTAGGATAAGAAGGGACACGCCAAGAATGATTATGTCTTTCAACGCTGCCTATGTAGAGGAAGGAGGTCACTACTACACAGACTCCTTGGTACTCAAGCATCAGACGGGACATTATACCTGTCTGAACTTTGAGCTCAGTACTATGGATGACGAATATGATCTCATTCTCCCACAATGGTGGTTAGAAATCCATCAGCCCGCAAACATCTTCTCGGATCCAGACAAGATACACTTCCCATCCGAATACTGCCAACGCCACTGCACGAAAGAGGCTGTCATTAAACACATTGCATCAACACGATACAATCACGATGACCCCCTCTCAGGAGTACCTGAGGAATTCAAAGAATTTGTACCTATAATGAGCAAGGAGGCCGGAAAGCGCTTTCCCCAACATCAACCATGGGATCATGCTATTGATCTGGTAGAAGGAAAGACGCCTCCATGGGGCCCCCTCTACGCCATGAGTGAAAAGGAACTCAGCACTCTCAAGCTATGGCTAGAAGATATGCTCAACATGGGACGCATTCGCAAATCCACCTCCTCTTGTGCATCCCCAATATTCTTTGTGCCGAAGCCCGATCCTAAGGATCCACTTCGCCCAGTGGTAGACTATCGAGGATTAAATGCGATAACAATACCTGTGCGCTATCCTATTCCACTCATATCAGAAATGCAGGACCGATTCCGGACTTCACGATGGTTTACTAAAATAGACCTGAAGGCCGGATTTAATCTGGTCCGCATCCGACAGGGTGATGAATGGAAGACAGCATTCAGGTGCAAATACGGACTCTACGAATATCTTGTCATGCCCTTCGGGTTAAGCAACGCGCCCGCCACCTTTCAGTCCATGATGAATAACATCTTCAGGGACATGATAGACGACGGACTACTGGTATACATTGATGACTTACTCATATATGCCACCACCCGAGAAGAGCATGACAGAATAGTCAAAGAAGTCCTAAAAAGACTCACCGCGCACCACCTCGCAGTCGCCCCGCACAAGTGCAAATGGGCAGTTCAGGAAGTAGAATTCCTAGGCTATATTATTAGCTCCCAAGGCATCTCCATGTCCAAAGACAAAATTGAATGCATCATGAAATGGGAGCCGCCAACCAACCTCAAGGAGTCGCAACAGTTTATAGGCTTTGCGAACTTTTATAGACGATTCATCAGAGGATTCTCAGCAACAGCTAGACCTATCACAGGAGCCAATAAAGGAGACAAGAAGGACTGGAAGTGGACACCAGAAATGAACGAGGCTTTCGAGGATCTAAAAGCTAAATTCACGTCAGCCCCAGTTCTTGTTCACTTCGATCCCGAACTACAAGTCTTCCTCGAAGCCGATGCTTCGGACTTTGCTATCGGAGCCGTCCTCTCTCAAAAAGATAAAGAGGCGAAGCTCCGGCCTGTGGCCTTTCATTCTCGAAAGCTGACTCCAGCGGAAATGAACTACGAAATATATGACAAAGAACTACTTGCAATTGTCGACTCCTTTGATCGATGGAGACACTATCTCGAAGGAGCACGACACCGAATTGAAGTATTCTCCGACCATCAAAACTTGTCCTACTTCACAACTGCCAAAGTCCTGAATAGAAGACAAGCAAGATGGGCGCAACAACTCTCGTCATACTGGTTCATTATTAATTATCGCCCTGGAAGGCAAAATGAGAAGGCCGATATTCTATCCAGATTACCACAATACCGGCCTGAGAAAGGGGGAGCTGAGTACCAACCGGTCACGTCGGTACTACAGGAGAAACATTTTTCGCACTCGTTTGGTCCTGATATAGTACGCTCAGCAGCGGTTATCCTCACATCAGATCGTCTAAGCAGCCTCTCGACTCCAAAATGGTTGCCCGAATTCATAGAACGAGTCAAGGAAGCAGGAAGAAATGACCCATTATACATGGAGAAGAAGGACAATCCGGGCGATGATCTCGAACTACGAGACAATCTCTTATATAGGAAGGGACGCCTGTGGATACCTCAAACACTCCAAGAAGAGGTCATGAGATCAGAACATGATACCTTGGTGGCAGGACACATGGGAATGGACAAGACCTTGGAACTTATCACACGAAACTTCTGGTGGCCCGATATTGAGACCATCGTACGAGATTTCGTAAGAGGATGTCTGGAATGCCAACGCAATAAGGCAAACCGACATGCTCCATATGGTCTGCTCCAACCCATGGAACTACACTACATGCCATGGCATACTGTCGCCATGGACTTTATCACTGATCTACCCTTGTCCAATGGCTGCGATTCTATTTGGGTTATGGTTGACCCGTTCACCAAGATGGCGCATTTCATACCTCTCAAAGTAGGAGAGAAAAGAACTGCGGATCTAATTAAGATCTTCGCTAAGTCCTACTGGAGATTACATGGAGTTCCCCTAGATATTATTTCTGACCGAGACTCCAGATTTACTGCCCACCTGTGGCGAGACTTCCTCAAACTCGTAGGCATTAAGCCACGAATGAGTACAGCCTTCCATCCCCAGACCGACGGTCAGACAGAACGACTCAATCAGACCCTCGAAGTCTACCTCCGAGCGTTCGTCAACTACGAAATGACCAACTGGGAAGACTTACTACCAACGGCAGAGTTCGCATACAATAACTCAAGATCAACGTCATCACACATGACACCGTTCTATGCGAACTACGGCTTCCATCCCGCAGCCCACAATCCACCTACCGGCTCTCCTCGAAATCCAGGCAGTCAGTTGTATGCACATTGGATGAAGCAAGTTTACACCGAAGCACAGCAACACCTGGAGAAGAGTCGTCAACGCATGAAGGATTGGGCTGACAAGAGAAGGAAGGAAGCACCGAAGTTTGAGGAAGGCCAACTGGTCATGTTGAATGGTAAGAATATCAAGACTAAGCGACCCGCTAAGAAGCTGGACAAGAAGATGCTAGGCCCCTTTAAAATCCAGAAGGTAATCTCTCCTACCGCTGTCAGACTCCATTTACCCAAAGGGTGGAGAATCCACAACTCGTTTCACGCCTCACTCATCGAACCCTACCGCGCTGGCAACCAGGCATTGCCTGATCCTGACCAGGTCCTGCGGGAGGCAGCCCCGATAGAATCTGAGGAATACTACGTGGACGAGGTTAAGGACTCCATACAAGCCCAGGGAAGTGTGAAGTACTTAGTCAAGTGGGAAGGTTGGCCAGCCAAAAGGCACTGGACTTGGGAACCCTTTGATCACTTCGATGGCGAAAGCGCTAAGCAAGCAGTCTTGACATTCCATCAACAGAACCCAGGGAAGCCGGCAGACCCTCGAGCTTTGCCAGGAGGAGTCATACCCCCTACCTAAGACTCTGGCTCAGAGACGAGCTTAGGGAGAGGGGAGATGGTGTCACACGGACAGTAATGCCAAGAGACTGTTGGTTGAAGAAGACAACCAACAAAGGATACAGGATAACTACTTCAGGATTCATTGGATAAGGAATATCACAAGACCATGCAGCTATATGCAGGCGGAGCCAACACATCGATAAGGACTCGGCCAGACCGAGAGATACGTACTTTAGATTGTTTACAAATAGGTCGAGATCTCCTCTTGGAAAGAAGGGGAGAACTAAGGACCTTGAGACCCTAGAAAA